CTCCTCCCCACAGGGAGCCTATGGAAGCGGGGACAAGCCTGGAGAAACTCCCTGGGGCTGAAGGGCGACAGGGACCATTGGCCGCTGCCACCCCGGCCGCAGCTCTGGGTGGCTCTCGGCAGCGGGGAGCTGCCGTGGATCAGGAGCGGAGCAATTAAAGCCTTTCCTGCTGTGGATTCTGCTTGTCCTCGATCAAGAGGAGCAAGTGCAACACGCGGCAGCCAGGTAGAGCCATAGGGACTGCGCTGACAGTGCCACAGATAAGCATGGGGAGGCTTTGCAGGGCACACTGGGGACCCTGGCTGCTCAGGTGATGGATGTTGTGAAGGAGAAGACATGGTCCAAAGTGCAGGGAGAGGCACAACACACGCTCCAGAAAAGTGAAGAAATTTAAGAAAAGTCCCTGACATAGTTTAAGTCATTTAAAATGAATTCTGCCTGCCGCTGGACTGGGGGAAGGAGTTTTTTGGGTGCTGGGGGGGGGTCAGTGCAAAGTTTGTGCTTCTTGCAAAAGAAAGAAATAGAAGCGCACTCAGCCCATCCTCGTTCCTACCGTACCGAGACGTGATGGGGCCCGTAGGCTCGCAGAGCTCTGTGTCCCCCTGCCCACGCGCCCCAAGCGCCACGCAGCGGCTCACAGTGGCTCGCAGCAGTGCAGCAATGGCACGCGGGTGTTTTAGCTAGCGCCAGGCCTGCCCTCGAGGCACCGCATCCTCTCCCTCTCGCACACGCGCCCTGCCAGGGTCACGCTGCAGCCAAGCGAAGCCACTCGGGAGTTAGCACCAGGTTTCAGCTCGTCCTCTGCTCATGCGCTCCCAGCTGCGATGTCAAAAAATACACCCCCGCTCAAAAAGAAACAAAACCCTGAGTTTAGATGCTGCAGGAGCCCCAGCACAGCCCCAGGGTTAACGGCAGCCCGTGGGGATGGGACGCGGCTGCTCCGCGCTGCAGCGACGTCCCGTGGCGCGAGACGCAGGATGCATTTCCCACTGCGGACACTGGCTGTGGCCGAGGAAAGAGGAAGGGGAGCCTGGCCGCGGTAGGAACGGGCTCCTGCCCAGCTTTCCTGGAAAACCCCACGGCAGCAGCACACACAGACCAAGCCCGCTGGACTGTCCCACCTGCGTGAGACGCTGCCCCTCTCGCCCCTCCGTTAGCCCTGGGAGCTACTGCCCCTGCTCGCTGCTGCTTCACTGCTAATGAGAGCTCATTGGGGCGCCGGGTCGTTAGCTGTCCTCCTTGCAGCTGAACGAGTTACAGGGGAGATAGTGCATAAAATATGGACAAGAGAGAGGCAGGGGGAAAGTGGAGAAGGGAACAGGGCTTTGGCAAGGATGAGGCTCAGGACAACCCTTCCCAGGTGGAAGATGCCTGGGGCATCCCCTGGTCTGCAGTGACAGTTGGAACCTGCTCATTTTCCTTGAAGTTTGCAGCAAGGCTTGTGTGTCCCTCCAGCAGCTCTTCCCTCACCCAAAACAGCAGCCCCGTGCAGGGAGGGGGCACAAGCAACGCGGGACCGTTTGGGGTGTTTGTCGCTTCTGACCGAAAATGAGAAGAGTGTTGACCCCGACCGAGAGGCAGGGGAAGAGCCGCAGCCGCGTGTGTGAACTTCCCCCTGCCGCTGCTTCGAGAAAGGGGGAACGCCGCGCTTGGCTCCATGAATCGAAGAGTAATTACAAAAATACTGAAATCAAATGTTTCCAAGAGTTAAAACAAGAACTTTTTAGAGAATGTCTAAAGACACCCAACTCAAAACTCACCAAAAAGAAAAGTATGTCCCCCACAATCTGTTTTGCAGAGAAATGAGTTGTCAGGATAAATAAATGGCCCTGAGCTAGGAAACCCCATGGGAGAGGCCACGGGCTTGGCCGGGGTTGCAGGGCCTCGCTTGCTCGTGGCAACGTGGCCCGATCCACACGGGAACAGCGAAACTGCGGCCAGGCACGCTGCGCGCCCGCTCCCGCCTCCAGCGAGGGTAACGTTTGGGGTTTTTGCCCTTGTTCCCTTCCAGCACCGCTGTCGTGTTGGCTGTGAGGTGCCAAAACGCAAAGGGCCGACGTCTCCCTTGCCCGGCCGTGAGTTTCCATGCGGCTTTGGCCTCCCTGCGAGCGGCTGCTCCAACAGAGCCCGCGGGAGCGACCGTGCCGCTT